ACCTAAAATAAAGCATTCTAAAGTGGTTTACAGAGATATAGAAACTATCCCACTGATTACTGGAGTGACAGCTCAGAACAGAAGCTGACAACTGTTTAATCGGTTCAAAATCCATGAAGAAAACCAAATGAAAACATAAGATAAATACATGCACAAAGAGCTTACCTGAAGTAGAATTTAATTAAGTTACTCCTCAAGATTGAGCCATATGGCTCCAATAAGCAGGGTGCAGATGCAGACCTCGCTAGTCCTCCTGTGCACCCATGCACTGGTCACTTTCCCCATTAAGCAACTCAAGGTTGCTCCGTACAGCCTCCATTAAAGTGGTTCAACATAAACACTCAGTTCATTGATCTAGACATGTCAGGAATTACTACATAAGTATTATGGATCCTAGAGCTTTGATAGACGTGACAGAAGTTTCTGCAACAAAAAATGGTACTCGAAACTGGGCAAGTGGTTTAGAGCAAGATATTCCCATCACTGCCAACTTACCAGGCTAAGAAAATAGAATGAAGTCACTATTTATTAACTGGCTTTTCCACATCAGCGTTCTCAAACATTAAAAGGATATATTTGAGCAAACTGATCAGTTCAAGAGCAAGAATTCTCAAGAACCTGACTATATGAATGCAGAAATTCCAAACAACTAAGACCACACCTGTAACAAACAGACACTACTCTCCTCAGAATATACGCTACCCCTAACTGGTAAGAGGTGATAGATGTAATCCTGGACTAGCTACACACTTGAAGAATTTTAGTTTATTAGGAGGTCTGTTATGACAATTCCTTTTCAGCTTTACTCTCTAGTTTAAAAACATTAACAGAGAATGTGTTCCTCTTGACCTGTAAGAGTCTGACCTTGGTCCAACAAACAATTCTGTTTCTTGCCATAAGAACCCAGCAACACACACACTAGAAGGAACACGCAGTAGCCACCAATTCTGTGGCTGATGCCAAGTAACTTTCTAGTACAGTTGAGACACACTGCACAAGAAATTGATTTCTTTGTTCCAGTATCAGTGTTAAGTGAGAGAGCAGGAAACATTCTGGAAGAGATGTCCATTAATACTCAAATTGTACTGTCCCAGGAAGCTCAGTTTGACTCCAAGACAGGAAATGCAGGTTTTTCTGCAAGGAAAGGCTAACTACAGTGATGTCTGACTAAGACTTCACTATTAAAGGATCCTCCTCCATCATAGAATAGAATCATGGTTTGGGTTGGAAGGAACCTTAAAGATCATCTAGTCCAACCCCCATCATCACTCTACAAAGACAGAAAAATTATGTCTCAATATAGCCTTACTATACTCTGGATGCCCCCTTTTTCTCAGTCATCATCCCCTGTCCCCCCCATTTTTATATCACCATGTAACTATGGAGCTAAAACTGGAATCCTATCTACAGTTACTGAGCAGGTAAAATTAAAAGAGGAGGTAAAAGAAGCAGGAAACCAAGCAGTAGGCCAAGCTTGTGGAGTACAGGTAGGTTGCCTAGAAATCCTAGTAAAAAAAACCTACCTATGGAAACCATTAGGTATCTTCCATCTGAAGGTCACAGATTCATCAGTGGTGAGAAAGAGAAAGAAGCAATCAATCATGGAGTTAGTTAATATTGATAAAGAACCCAGGAGCTACTGATGCAGAACTTTGGTCAGACTTTCACGTGAACAGGTCCTATCCCTGGGCACAAAAGCAACTGCTGCTGCAGATTTAAACTGGCATTTAGACATCCTTGACTGTTTTTGCGTTCATGTGAAGGCAAGGCTCACCAGTTTTTTCTCTATTTTTGTTTCATCTTTGAAGTCACCATCATGTAATTAGAACCAAGTCCTTAAACCCTTTCATACAAAAATAATAGGTAAGTAATCACACTGGTCTATATTTGAGAGGTCTGGTTATACAAGCAACTACAGCTAGGTAGTGCATCTATACTACGCACCCATAGCCTCACAGAGGTACTGTAGACATTAGTCATGACTCCTACAGGTTAGTAGTAGCACCTCCTTGAATTAATAGAGTAGTATTTTAAAAAGCAACCAAAAGCCATATTCAGAACAGTCTTAAATGGATTTGTTGCAGCTCTCTAGCAGAACTCGGGGAATTTTAATGCAATGGTGGATGTGGATACTTATTTTAACTACAAGGTTTAACTATCACATCTTAAAACACTTTGAAGTACTTCCATTTTAGATATACTGTAACCACCTACTCAACTGAATTTGTATGCCTGACTCCATTAATCTCTTATTCCTGTGCTTCTGAAATTCAACATATGCCTTCAAGCTATGTGAGCTCGTGCTCTGTGTTTCACTAATTAGCCGCAATGAAGGTGCTTTTAGTCTCTGCAGTGGGTTTTTGATAGTTCTCCCTCATTTCCACAAGTGAGTAACAGAGTTTCAATGGGTCTTTTCACTCCAACACATTTTCAACCTTGCTCCAACTGATGTCCAATACTGCAGAAGCTCATTTCTGTTTTGAGACTACTGCCTTTTGAAACAGGGGTCATTTATTTGGCTGGGCAAAAGAGAACATTTTAAGTCCCTTACAGCCACAATTTCATCAAGTGCCTAGTGTCCATAATGTTTTGGATCCCTATTGGCAAACAGAACTGGAGGAAGGACATCACTCCTAAGTGAGGCAGTACTGAACGCAGAGCACTCAAACTTCATGTGTCCCATCACTGGGGTACGGGAAAAAGCAGACAGTTGTCACCAAGATACACTACTTCAAACCACATGGAAAGGCTACAGATGACAGTCATCTCTGCTTACCTGATGAAGGCAAGGCTGGGGAACAGAAAAAGCAGCTACATCATATGAAGAACCACACCCCCTTTTGTTTTCCCATGACAATCACACTCAAATCCCATCAAAAGAGCAGGCCCTCCCATCCGTCAGCAGGTAACCTTTGCATGCCCATCACCTCTATGAAATAACACTCACCCAAAAAACCCACGAGCTCACATGACTCTGGTTCACTAAAGAAACTACTCTAGAATTTTGACAAGAGTAGGTCTGGGGTTTAGTTACTGCAAAATCTCTACCCCTCGAAACCCATTTCTGGAAACGGAGCTGCTTTCTGTACTGACAGTCTTCACTTTGAAAACCTCAACTTATACTTTATATCTGAGAATAAAATATGCAAAGATGTAGAGACAATTGTTCTTGCCCTATTTACTTTGCAATGGCTTCTCCAGCATGAAACAGAACTGAAATGGTAACTCCAAATTATGCTAAATGGGGTAACTAGGTTGGCTTTCTGTTGGTTTCATCTTAAAGCACTGCCATATTCAGTACAGCAGCAATGAAGAATACAACAAGGAAATCATAAGTCATTAGCCCTTGCTAAAATTATTTCTTGATTCAAGTAATTTTGTTTCAAAGCAATTCTTTTTTAATCAAGAAACGGCATGCCCTGTTAAAGATGGCGTTGCAAGATTTTCCTTTTCTCTACAAGCAGAGAGATAATAAAAAAACCGAACCCCAGCACATCACATGGGTGATTTATTAAGACTATATGCTACATTTTGATTTTTTTTTTTCTGGGGGGGAGGGAAGGGTTCTTTATATAGGTTTTAGGAAACCAGTACCCCTGCAAGGGATACTATTTGTGTGGAACACCATGCAGAAAGGTATTCCAGTATTTAATCAGTTCTCACTGTGCTGTACAGCTTTAATCAAACAGCCCAGTTCTTCTTAACCAAAGCCTTTCAATGCCCAATGCAAAAGAAGCTGCCACTCTTGGGGTCTCAGGAAGCTCAAATGTACTACTTCTGGTCAGCAAATACAACAGAATTTGCTGAGTAGTAGTAAGCCATAGTGTAATCTGTGCTACCAAACAACTGTAGAGCTATCTTCCAAAAAGTTACTGAGTTTACTCACTCCTTGGGTAACAGCTCAAACTGGTTTCTACCATGTTCTAAGTTTTCTAGTCTCTGACAATCTGTTTAGTCTCATTCTATTTTTTTTTTTTGAAAAAGATGCAAGAAAACTGGGCTGGTTGAGTACAACTAAGACATTTTAACCATGCTAACATTCCTATTGGATCTTCAGATGGCCATCCCCAAGATTTCAGGAAAAAAACCTTGTACCACTAGAAAGTGCAAAGACTGCTCTATTAAATTATGAAGATTTAACTCTGGCACTTTTCACTCCAAAGGGTCCTCTATCTTTTCAGCAGAAATTCAGCATATGCCGAATCCTTTATTTAGGGTAGTGTTCTCTTTCATATTTAACATTAAAAAAATTCAGATCCCTTGTGAGTAAAGATTATCTAGAATCAGTGCCCCAGTTTTGTAGGTTTGTGGGTTTTCTTAAAAACAAATGAAAAATCAACTTTAAATATAGATGTTCTAAAATCATGCAGTTTGTTGTTAGTCATTGTTTTAAGTAGTGTGCATAGTCTTGATCATCTCTGTTCTCCAGGATTAATTCTGTTACAGGGCTCTCCTATGTCCAATCTTTAACATACTACAAGTTTGTTGGTTTTTTTTCCAGTGGACAGATGAAACCATGTATCAAGAAATTCTGAGAAGAGTGAGCTCTTTAATGAAAGGTATCCTCTCTCCCAGAGAAAGTATACTGTAAACCTTACCTGTCAGTTTGTCTGAGCTAAATACAACATTAATGTTGAGGTGGTTGCTCTTCACACATCCATTATCAGGACAGTCTTTGCACTGAGAAAATACAATCCACAGTGCAGTGGAGGCAATGGATAACCTGTGATAGCATTAATGTGCTTTCATTCAAGAGATAAACATGTTAACACACTAGCAAAGAATATTTTGAATGAGTGCATTGTAACTCAATAGCAATTTACAATGAGGCATTGGAGGCCCATTGTAAAAAAAAAAAAATTCAACCTATAAACTGAAAACATTTTAAGTTTGCCAGTCAAGCAACTATATAGTCCTAATGAATAATGCCAAATAATGAATTACACCTTTCAAGGATGAACCATATAGGATTTTTTAAAAAGGCCATGCCACAGGGATACAGTTCTTTGTCTTTCCTAAGCAGATCATTGTACATCTGATCATATGTTGTTTTGAAATCATAAACATTTGGCTTGTCCGGTGCTGGTCCTGGCAGTTTCACATGAGTCCCTGTTCCAAAGGATCGGACACTGAATCCTCGTTTGCTGAAAGACAGAAAGGAAGGGAGAGAGAAAAGGCAATTAGATTGGATGGTCTTTAAACACCGAAGTGCTGAAGAACACATACTGAATTTTAAAAACAACTCTTTGCAATCAGCCAGATCACCACCAAAGAGTTGGGCAACTCTTAGCGAATAAAATTGCCAAGCGTACCCAATGCGCTTATTTCCTCACAGTTGCAATCAAAACACACATCATTTCTAAAGGAGAGTCTATTATATTTTATACGAAATTCTCTTAGAATTATGGTATATATAATTTTGGATGTTTCTTTTGTGCTTTCAGGCACCTTGCACTTGCAACAAGCATGCACTCTGTATTCACTCTTGGACAATACAACACAGGCAGAGATGGTTTTGTCTTGATATAAGTAAGTAAGTAACAATACCAATTGAACAATACTTGTGTATTCTGCTAAAGCTGCTGGGCTAACTACATTATTCTCCTCACTATGTTGCCAAAACTACCTCTAGTGTAATTAGTGTAGTACAAACATTTGTGTGCCTAGTACTTTTCTCAAGTGGACTGAAAAACATACTGTGTAATTACTTTACAGAAGTGGGGCAGATATTCTGCTGGCTGGTACCTCTTGGGTAAGCCAGGGATAGCTTCATTCCATTCTTATGAACAACTACTTGTTTAATCATTATAATTAAAAAAAAAAAGGCAGGAATCTGCTTGTCTTTAGAGTTAATGCCAAAATGCTCTGATTAACCTAGATACACCTACTTCAACTTCAGCAAATCCTTCAGTAATATTAAGAAACTTTAAAATACATTTGTTGAATAACACGACCAAAGAGAGATTGTTTTCTGGTAGCCTAATGGATAAAGCTACATGGTAAAATACTGTCGCTATTGTCCAGAATGCTGAAACATTTGGCTTTGTAATGACAATCTAAGAGGTTGAGACCACAGCTTAATATTTTAATTTTTTTTTAAGGACTCACACTTTTAGCTTCAATGATTTATCAGAGACTGAATAGATGGAACAATGTTAAAACAGAAATAAAAAATAAGCTAACAACTCAATATGTCACACCGAGCTCCCTCCCTGCCTCTCAGAAATTAAAAAAATACATATACGTGTAAAAATTGTAGTGCCTTTTTCTGAGAAAAGCGAACAGGAAACTAAGAACCAATGCAAGAGTCACACCTTGACTCCCTGGTCTCCATATATAAGACAGCAAGAAAATTCAGTAGAAGACACCAATTTAAGTTGCATGCTTGCCTTCAAATGGTGTCTTTGGCGTGATCCAAAAATGTTTTACGTGGAGACTGACAGTGATCAAGCCTTGCCCCAAGCTCAAGCACTGCTATGCAAGTATCAGTAGTGTTATTTCATTTCATTTGTCCCACTGGAACACAGCCTCTCTTTTTTTTTCTGTGCTTCACTACACTTTTTCTTACAGCAACTACCTATAGGTTCCTATTTCTGTAAACAGACAGGATGCATGATGATTTTTCTCTTCTTTCTGCAAGACTGACTGAAAATGGATACAAGGGGAAAAAAAAGTGCAATTCTTTCCCCCTCCCAACCCTCCATCACATTAACAGTGACTCATAACTGCACCAGTTACATTTAGTTTATTTTCCCTGCAATACTTCCAGACCCAAGTTTTTATACTACCACTTCTACTGGACATGAAGAGAACTGTAACATGTATAGAAGAACTGCTGTGCTAAAAGAATAATGTTTCAAATTGATTTTTTTCCTGATGTCTCATCCTTCTTTCCTTTCTGTATCTACCACTTGAAGCTACTCTCGCTAAGAATTTTAATACCAACTAACTGAAAAATAGAAGACTTAGGCACCTTGCACTTTTTGCCTTCTTTCCTTCTCTTCCTTACAATGGAAGAGTATTTTCTTCTATGCTTTCCTCCCAACTTATTTTTAATAATAATCTTTGAAATAGGTCTACTTAGGTCACACACATTAAGAAGCCCATCTCCAACTGTCAGATATGTCCTTGATGTTTGCATGATAAAGCAAACCAGGAATCTTCATTTGAAGTTCCACACATCAAAAATTTGTGCCTCTAATGCACATGACCCACTGAAAATTACTTCCTTGAATAGCGGGAAAATGCATTTTTCACATGGAATTTCATGCTTCAATGCAAGCAGTCACCAGGGTACAGCTTTTACACTATTTATGCACCAGGTATACTATTATGAAATAGTCTGAAAATGTTTCAACACATTTCTTGCAACAATTGGGGGTGGGGAGGAGGGAAGAATGCCTGCACAGAACCATTATTCAACAGGGCCTGCTTTTATTAAGCAGCTGGCCAGATCTAGTTTAGTGAGTCATCAAGTATTTGTTGTAATGTGGCACAGCCTTTTAACAATGAGCATTTTCTACACAATTATGTATATCTAGTATTTGTTCTCAGCCTAGTAAAACTACCCAGAAGTTGGAAAATAATGGGCTTCAACTTTACCATAAACAGTAAAGGGTAAGATACACCAATATACTATCCTAGCACTGATTTCTGAAAATGTGAAGCTTAAACATGAACAGACCTGTAAATGTGGAATTTCAAGACACTGTTTCTATTAAGACAAATGTACAGAAACTGTCAGTATCTCAAGTACAAATATAAGCCAGTATAGAGGTATTATTTTCAGCAAGTACGCTCATCTCAGTTTAAGTCTAAAGCTTACTACAGTGAGATCACACACACTACTCATGTGCTCATGAGTTTATAGGCTTTTAACTGAAGAACCTGAAAAGAGTCATTGCATTTCCCTCCAGATAACCTCAGGGCTCACTGCAAATACTACTTCTCATTTGGGACACAAATGCTGCTGAAAGCAGAGATCAACATGAGACTACACTAACAAAGCACTAACACATGACAGAGTTGTTACCACTCAGTTTCGGGCACTGAGAAATAATATTAATCCATGCAGATTGGGACATGAACTTTTATTCCCACCTTTCTTCTATTTCATTGTTATTTTGAGATCTCACTCATGCTTATTACATTAAGGTATTTTCAGCTTACTGTAGGGTCTTAACAGCACAGCTTCTCTTACAATGGTCACTAATAAGTATTACTGAACATTACAGCAAATGCAACAAATCCTGCAGTACCACTGCAGCTGGTAGTGGCAAAGATTTTCAGAGGACAAATCGCTCATTTTAATACATCCTCTTTCACAGCATGTAGCAAGAAAATAATTAGCAGCAGTGCCTTCCTTGTAGACCACTTTGGAAATATGCCAATCAATATGACCCCCTCCCCCCAAAAAAACTACCAAAAAAATCAAAAAAAATCACACACACCCCCCCCCAAAAAAAAACCCAAAAAACAAAACAAACCACAACTCAAACTCCCCCACTGCAGGTGACTACATAGAACTTGTATCCTTTAAAGTCTTGTTATCCCTTAACAAAATACCTTAAAGTTTTTGTGGTCCCTTCTAACCTGGCATTCTAGGATTCCATGATTCATAATGTCTCAATTTCTTCCTAACCCTTCTTCCTCTTTGAATCATGTGTTCTTTCAAACTGCAGTGCAACATACAGCAAGACATTACTCTGAACTGGTAAAGCAGGCTGGCTTTGAGCCAATGCAGACATTTTCCTGAAGTTAACTGGTGAATGACCACTCTCTTTGCATGGGTTAGTTATTTCTTTAGAACAGCATCAGCAATTCATTTCTATTTTGCCATGTATGCTGAGTTTTTTCTATAGTTACGCAGGATATTGCTGAAAAGAAACATTTTCCAAATCCGTGCATTTTGTCAATTTTTAATTAAAATCTTAAGGGAGAAGAGACTTCAAAAAACATTTCCCTGCCACATTTGTCAGAAAAACATCAGTCACGCCAGAAGTGATTTATTTCTTCTTCAAAAACAGAGAAAGAAAAAGGGTAGGAATTAGAAGTAAATTTGACTTTGTCCTTAGTACTCACATTTCTAATAAAACTCAGTTCCAGTATAATTAGCAGAAAAGGAATAGCATCCCCTTCTACCCCAAGCAGCTATTGGTAACACCGTGTTTTCATAGAACTGCCACAGGTAACATTTGATGCCAAGTTTACACATTAACAGCATCATATGCTGCTTACAGTAAGATGGCTGCCAGAGCAGATGCTTCTATTATTTACTCCTTTCAAGGCTGTTGTTTTTATTTAAGTGTCACACACAATTTACACATAGTTGTTTGGCTGCGCTAGCAATATGTATCTTCTAGTGTGATTATTACTGGGTGTAACTTGAACAAAAAAATAACCTTTATCATGTTCCTGGAATGCACAGGGAAGACTTTGGAACACGATTTCAGGTAGATCAGGTCTCTCTTGTCCATCAGTCAGTCTGTCCCCAGTCTCCCATCTCCCCTTTTGAATTCAGCCACGCTGAAAATACTTGTAGTGCTAAATAGATGAACCCTCACATTCTCAAAGACATTTAACATTCTGAACCAAACACTTTGTCCAATTTTCCTGCAACAGGAAAAGGCTCCCTTTCAGTGCTCAGAGCAGCTCCAGTCTTCAGAAGCATTACAAGGAGGAAGAGAAGAAAAAAAAAAAGAAAAATATAAAAGGAGCGCTTAAGTTTTCAGATGCTGAGACATGGGAGCTGTTCAACACCTGTCGAGTTTGCAGCACTGGATCCGGAGGTCCACCAGCGACGGTGGAATAGGCTCCACCGACCACTCCGGCGAAACCAGCCTGGAGCAGGGTCCGGAGGAGACAGGATACGAACAGGATGAAGTCCCCCAGCCGTGGGCCTAGCAAGGTCTGGCGCAGGCCCCAAGCACGGCCTCAGCCCGCAGCCGGCGCGGCGCCCCGCTGCCGTGACAGCCCACTCGGGCCCAGCCCCAGAGCGGGCAAGGCAGCCAGCGTCCGCGCTACGGCGGCTAAGGAACTGGCCCCGCTGCGGTTCGGAGGGCCAGCCCGCGACGGAGAGGGACTGCCAGGGCCTAGGCCGCACTCGCGGGGCCCGGCAGCAGACCAGGCCGCGCCGCTGCCGGCT